GAGTGCTCGGTCTGGCCGAGGCTTTGAAGTGCTCGGTCTGGCTGAGGCTTTGGGTGCTCAGTCTGGCTGGGGAAAGGACTTAAGCAGTTTTGAGCCACGACCGCCCCCAGTAGATCCTGTAAAAGAACAAGCCAGAAAGGAGGGGGAAGCTCTGAAGAAGAAGAAGAAAAAGAAGAGGAGTGCCCCAGAGGGAGCTGCAGATGAGTTTGGGGCCAAGAGGGCTAAGGTGGCCCCAACTGAGGTGGAGGCCCCCGTGGCCAAGGATACCCCAGAGGTGGTGGGGGTCACCCCCGCACTGGAGGCTGTAGAGACTGCCCCAACGGTGCAAGTAGGAGTTGGGATGACTGAGGCTGAGCCGAGCGGGAGGGAGTAGACCCAAAAGGGCCCTGCCGCCCAGGAAGGAGGGGTCCGTCTGGCCACGGCAATCTATCACGCTCGCGCGGTAGCTGGAAGGTTGGAGGGAGAAGAAGGCCTAGCTAGGGCGGGGGCAGACCGCTTGGTGAAGATTGTGGAGGAGACAACCCTGCGCTCGGCATCGGGATTCAATGAGGCTGACCTGCTGAGGGGGTTATGCTCCGCCCAAATGGAGGTAACCACCTTGGCAGGGGCCCTTCTAAGGAAAGCAAGGGCTGCCAAGTTAAAGGTTGAAGAGGTCAAGGCCCAATTGGCCAAGTTGAAGAAGGAGAGTGCTGACTGGAAGACTGCCCATTCTGAGCTGCAAGCAGTTAAGTTGGAGTTGGAGGACACATGCCATAAGGTCGTGTCGCTCGAGTTCCAACTGGCTGGTGAACAGAAAAAGTTGGAGGAGTCTGAAAAAGCCTGCGCCGTTGCGATCGAGCGGCATGAAGAGGCCGTGAGCAGCAATGAAGAGCTGGTCAGGCAAAAAGATGAGGCAGATGCCAGAATTGGAGATCTGTTGAAGGAGTTGGAGGAGGAGCGCGTGAAAGCAGAGGAGGAGAAGGGGAGGTTGGTGAGGGAGTTGGAAACAGAGAAGGCGAAGGCGATGGCAGAGATGAAGAGTCTGAGGAAGGGAGTGGAAGAGGAAAGGGCGATGGCGGTTGCTGAAAGGGGGGCCCTACAAAGAGAGCTGGGCGAGGAAAGGGCGAAGGCGGCTTCTGAGAGGGCGGCTTACCCCGATCTGTGCGTCGCAGCAGTGGAGCAATACAAAAGGTCGTCCGAGTTTCAGATGGCGGTAGATGCCGCAGTCGCTAGGAGTCTGGCTGGTCAAGAGTCTGGGGGGGTGGGCCCATCAAGGACGACTGCTGGAGGTAGGACGGAGGCAGAAGTTATTGAGAGCTTCCAATAGTCAGACTTCTACAAGCACGAAATGGCTGAGTTCTGGGACAGCGGTTGGAAGATGTTCAAACGCAGAGCTGAAGAGCTGTTCCCAGACTTGGACCTGAGTAGTGTAACGACTGGTGAAGATGATGTGGCCCAGACCCCCCTAGACGAGGGCATTGAAGAAGAAGAGCTTGTATCCAGCGAGGAGGAATAACCAAGATAGAATAAGAGCCCCCTCTTTGTGTTTGTTTTTGTTTTGTTTTTTGTTTTTTTGTAATGAACTTGTGTACACATTGTAAATGAATAAAATTTCGTTTATGTTGTCAATTGACTTGTGTTGGCCTGTACTGGCTAAAATGTATGATGTCTTGTTATAAAAACTGGTCATAAAAATTATGCAATAAAAATTTGTATGAAAACTAAAAAGTATTAAGTTAAAAGTTTCTCACTGCAGAGTGAGATTGGGTTTGTATGAAATTTGAAAGGATGATAGTGGTTTATTGAAAAATTGGATTATGAAATTGTAGAACATAATATTCGAATGGGGTTAGTACTTCTAGTTTAATAAAGACGAATGAAGAATCCATGGATGAGGACAAAGAAGTAGGTTGCAAATCGTGACTAAACAGCCAATTGTAAACTTGTAGAGAAGAGATTGGAGAAACAAACTGGGTGGGGTAGGAGATAATCTGATTAGCAAGTGGAATACGTGAGAGCATCTTTGGAATCTAACTAAGTAAAAATGTGGTTCTGGAATTGTGAATAAGCTTCAAAATGTGACTAAGTGTTAAAAATGTGGTCCTGCTTGGCTTTGAAGTGCTCAGTCTCGCTGAGGCTTCGAGTGCTCGGTCTGGCCGAGGCTTTGGAGTGCTCAGACTGGCTGAGGCTTTGAAGTGCTCGGTCTGGCCGAGGCTTTGAAGTGCTCAGACTGGCTGAGGCTTTGAAGTGCTCAGTTTGGCTGAGGCTTCGAGTGCTCAGTCTGGCCGAGGCTTTGGAGTGCTCAGACTGGCTGAGGCTTTGGAGTGCTCGGTCTAGCCGAGGTTTTGAAGTGCTCAGACTGGTTGAGGCTTTGGAGTGCTCGGTCTGGCCGAGGCTTTAAAGTGCTCAGACTGGCTGAGGCTTTGAAGTGCTCAGTCTGGCTGAGGCTTCGAGTGCTCGGTCTAGCCGAGGCTTTGGAGTGCTCAGACTGGCTGAGGCTTTGAAGTGCTCGGTCTGGCCGAGGCTTTGAAGTGCTGCAAGTGAAAGTGTCATGGGAGCGACATACAGACAGTTGAATTATAAAAGCTGAAAACTTCAGTCGGAATGTGCATTATGCATTGCTTTGAAGTGCTCAGTCTGGCCGAGGCTTTGAAGTGCTCAGTCTGGCCGAGGCTTTGAAGTGCTCAGTCTGGCCGAGGCTTTGAAGTGCTCAGTCTGGCTGAGGCTTTAAGTGCTCGGTCTGGCCGAGGCTTCTGAAGTGCTCAGTCTAGCTGAGGCTTTGAGTGCTTGGTTTGGCCGAGGCTTTGAAGTGCTCAGTCTGGCCGAGGCTTTGAAGTGCTCAGTCTGGCCGAGGCTTTGAAGTGCTCAGTCTGGCCGAGGCTTTGAAGTGCTCAGTCTGGCCGAGGCTTTGAAGTGCTCAGTCTGGCCGAGGCTTTGAAGTGCTCAGTCTGGCCGAGGCTTTGAAGTGCTCAGTCTGGCCGAGGCTTTGAAGTGCTCAGTCTGGCTGAGGCTTTAAGTGCTCGGTCTGGCCGAGGCTTCTGAAGTGCTCAGTCTAGCTGAGGCTTTGAGTGCTTGGTTTGGCCGAGGCTTTGAAGTGCTCAGTCTGGCTGAGGCTTTGAAGTGCGCAATCCGGCCGAGGCCTTGAGTGCTCGGTCTGGCTGAGGCTTTGGAGTGCTCGGTCTGGCTGAGGCTTTGAAGTGCTCAGTCTGGCCGAGGCTTTGAAGTGCTCAGACTGGCTGAGGCTTTGAAGTGCTCAGTCTGGCTGAGGCTTCGAGTGCTCGGTCTGGCTGAGGCTTTGGAGTGCTCGGACTGGCTGAGGCTTTGAAGTGCTCAGTCTGGCCGAGGCTTTGAAGTGCTCAGACTGGATGAGGCTTCGAGTGCTCGGTCTGGCCGAGGCGTTGGAGTGCTCAGACTGGCTGAGGCTTTGAAGTGCTCAGTCTGGCCGAGGCTTTGAAGTGCTCAGACTGGCTGAGGCTTTGAAGTGCTCAGTCTGGCTGAGGCTTCGAGTGCTCGGTCTGGTTGAGGCTTTGGAGTGCTGAGACTGGCTGAGGCTTTGAAGTGCTCAGTCTGGCCGAGGCTTTGAAGTGCTGCAAGTGAAAGTGTCATGGGAGCGACATACAGACAGTTGAATTATAAAAGCTGAAAACTTCAGTCGGAATTTGCATTATGCATTAAAGAGGGAAATATAATAATGTTGACAATACAAAAGTGTGAACTTATTGGTAGTAACGCTTCAAATGTTCCGCATTCCAGGGATGGGGAAGGTCTCGGCCTTCCATGTCTTGAAGTCGGTAAGTGCCTGGTCGTGGTCGAGCTCTCACAACGTAGGGTCCCTTCCATTTGGCTGCCAGTTTGCCCTCAGTTGGATTCTTTGTGGCAAGGGTCGCTTCTCTCAAGACAAGGTCGCCTATAGAGAACTCTCGTGGTCGAACTCTGCGGTTGTAGTGTGTTCTCATTTTCTGCTGGTGCGAAGCTAATCTGACGGCAGCAGTTTCTCTGAGCTCTTCGATAAGGTCCAGGTCTGTTCGATGGAGCTCTTCGGTTGAGGCGAGATCCGAATGTAAAACCCTGGGGGTGGGCAGACCGACTTCTACCGGAATAACCGCCTCAGCGCCATATGTTAAGCGAAAGGGGGTTTCCCCAGTGGGAGTGCGAGCAATGGTTCGGTAAGCCCAGAGTACACTTAGTAGTTCTTCAGCCCAAAGGCCTTTAGCAGCTTCGAGCTTAGTTTTGATGATTTTCAGAAGAGAACGGTTAGTGACTTCAACTTAGCCATTTGCTTGGGGATGACCGGGGGAAGAGAAGCATGGTTGAATCTGGAGATCTGCACAAAATTTTCTGTACTTCGCGTTGTCGAATTGTTTGCCGTTGTCGGAGATGATGGCTTGGGGGATACCAAATCGGCAAACGATCGATTGCCAGATAAACCTGGTGGTGTTCCGCTCGGTGATTGTGGCAAGGGTTCGCCTCGACCCACTTGGTGAAGTAATCAATGGCAATAATCGCGAACTTGGTCTGGCCTCGACCGGTGGGAAGTGGACCAACCAAGTCGATCCCCCATTGGCAAACGGATAAGGGCTGCAGGATGTGATTAACTCTGTAGGAGGAGCATGGGAATGTTGGCGAAACGTTGACATTTATCGCATTTGAGCACGAAGTCAGTTGCATCCTAATTAAGAGTTTGCCAAAAACCCAGTACGGAGTATCTTGTGGGCAAGGGACCTGCCGCCTGAATGATTACCACAAATTCCCTCATGAATCTCCTGCATTACATAAGTTGCTTGAGCTGGATTGAGGCACCGTAGATAGGCCGGAAAAACGCGCTTGTACAATATACCGTCGACAATGATGTAATTGGATGCTCGGGATCGGACTTTGGCTGCCTGCTGTTGTCATCTGGTAGTGTCCTATGGTCAAGAATAGAGAATGTCGGATGCCCAAGGAATGGGTTCGTTTTGGATGAACTGTACAGTTTGCAGGTCGGGTGAAATGGCCGGGTGGTGTAGATATTCGAGACGGAATCATGGCTGAGATTAGGATGGTCAGCAGAAGCCAGTTGAGCATTTCATCTGCTTTGGAGTTTTCCGCCCGAGGTATTGTGCCTGATGTAGAGGTATTGAAGAGGCGAGCGAGGGGAGTGCCATATCCCTGTAAGCTCGCATTGTGTCTTCCTTGGCGTCGAAGTCCCCCATACATCTGACCAACGACGAGCTGGGAGTCGTTGAATACTCGGAGGTGGCTGACCCCAATGTCCTTGGCAAGTCGGAGTCCTGCTATCAATGCCTTATACACGGCTTCATTGTTGCTTGCTTTAAACAAGAAGAGGAGGGCACATTTGAAATAGCCGCCCTCGGAGAGAGGTGAGGATGAGGCCGGCCCCACTTCCTTCTTTCG